CCATTCAAGTCCCAGGAGGGTCCCACCCCACAGGACCCCCGCCTCCCCCAGCCCCAGAGCAAGGCAGCCCTCCTGGGAAGTGGTCCCTTAAGGCACCAGGCTGCATTCCAAGTCTCCTCGCTTACTCCTGCCTGAGTCCCTTGTGCTGGACCCCACAGCTCCGCAAGGCCTCTCGCAACCCCATTCAGCCCCAGTCCATTTCCTCACTGCCCCTGACACCCCCAAGTCTCAGTCACACTTTCCTCCCACACTGGTGAGCTGAAGCGGACACTGCCTCCTGAGGTGTCAGGGCACTCTCTGGCTCCCACTGGATGGAAGTAGCCGGGCCTGGGACTGAAGGGACAGCCACCTCCCCTTCCCACTCACCAACTCTAAGCCTCTTACCTTCATGGTGGGAGGCGCAGTGAGAGGAGGGGACAGCGGCCGGTCTGGGAAGGTCACATCCGAGCTGTTGGCCAGCTCCTGCTTCCTGTGAAGAGGCCACAGAACACAGAAGACATGAGTCAGGGCCTGAGCCATTCCCTCTCTGCCAAGAGCAGCTGGGCATGGGGACCCGGTCTAACACACACTGCGTGAAACCAGAGTGGAATGCATCCTCTGCTGGGATGTCCTAAACCCTCCAGTGGGGCTATTCCACGTGTGGTTCCTGCACCAGCCACATGGGCATCACCTGGGAACTTGTTAGAAATGTAAATGCCCAGGTGCACGCCAGAGTCTCCAGCGACGGGGCTAGGAAGCTGGGTCTTACAATCCCTCCAGGCGACTATGATGTCCACTGATGTACCGGGGCCACCACTCTTAAGACTTACGGGACCCACAACACCTAAGGGCCTCCAAGGCACCAACAAATGCTTCAAGGCATCAAAATAAACTAACTGTTTTACCACAACAGCAAAGTTTGACACGGTGGAAAATAACTAGGCCCTGAAACTGTAGCAATTACCGTTTATCTTCAAGTTTTTTCATTTGTCAAAATTATAGGGGTTAGTAAAATAGTCTTCACGTATACGTTTAGTAGATGTATTTCAAAATACATTTTAACTAAGGACCAGCAAAAAGACAGAGACAGAAGAGGAGCATAAACATTTGTGATTCATCCTTCCTGGCTCCTGGGTACCCTTTGCCCCTTCCCCCCGCCCCCCCCCCACACACACACACACACCGCAGCCAGAGAGCTGACCTCAGGAGGACGGGGCTGCCTGCTGTGTAAGCTGCAGGTAGAACTTATTTTAGTTCACGTGGGCTAGGACCATGGAGAAGCAGCTAAACAGAGTTATGTCACCATGACAACATGACTGTGACAAGTTCACTGCTCTCACACACTCCCCACTTGCCATCTGGCCCTAGCCGGTGACCAGGGAGTGCTAGTTCGCAGTCTCATCACCAGGCACGATGTTTGCAGTGAGATAAGTCTCCAGAGCAATGATTGATTATGCAACAGGGCCAGCTGGGCAGAACCTGGGGGAGCCCCAGACGAGGGACTATGGTGTCCTGGACGTGCCCTGGCTATCTCCCGGGACAGCAGCGAGAGGTGAAGATATGACAAGCCCAAGAAGACCAGGCTGAGCCATCAAAGCTCCCAACCCTGCTGCCGTCTCCTTCTCCAGAGCTCCACCCTGAAGCAGCCAAGAGAGTGAGCCTGACACCTGGGTCACACTTAAATGACCAAAGGACCCCCACTGCCACCTTGACAGAATGCTTCTTGTACTTTGCAGCCCACATGTCGCCAACGGGGACGACAGCCCCAACCCCAAGCCTCCTTCATGAGAGAGGCCCGGCCTCCCCACAGAGCCTGGCCTACCTGCCTTTCCAGAGGCAGCCCTTGCCCTGAGACCCACACACCACCCCAGCCTGGCTCCCCTCAGCCCACAGGGCAGGCCCAACCTAAAGGAAGACAGGCCAGGTGCCACGGGGCCCTGTCTCGCCGGCACGACCCCTGCCTGCCCCCGCAGCTGGCCATGCCTCATTCTCATCTAGGCAACCAGGGAAGGAGACCGCGTGAACGTCTTGGCAGAGGATCCATGTGACCCCATTGACCTCAGCCTGCCAATCCCCCTTTCTGATCCTCCGTCTGCCTTGCCCCTCCTGTCTTCCTGAACCCAGTCTCACTCTGAGGGCAGGAAAGGTGGGGGACCCCCTCCCTCCGAGTCCAGACTATAACCGGCCCAAGAACCAGCAGGGCCACGACTCAGCACGTGTGCGTGTGTGCATGCACACGCACACACACACACACGAGGAATGCATGAGGCTCCTTCCACCTCTCAGAGCCACCGCCTCCCCGTTATGGCCTGGAACCGGTGTGGGGTCCAGCCCAGCTGCTCTGGCCCTCACCTGCCTGTGGACCCCACAGAGCTGCGTCCCAGCACAGACTCACCCCCTCCGGTCACTCTGCCTTTTCCCCTGCAGCCTCTGCTCATCCTCAATGGGCCCAGCCTCTGAGAGCCACGGTGGGGGAAAGGGAGTGGCGGGGGGGAGATGATCAAGGATGGGGGCGCCACCCTCGGGTCCCCTCAGGTGAGAATGGACAAGGGCTGCTCCCCTTGGGGGCTGGCAGCCAAGGAGTTAGAAGCATGCAGAGAGGGCAGAGGAGGCAAGCCCCCTACCCAAAGTCTACAGGGCTGTGTGGAGGTTAGCTGAGGACCTCTGGACTAGTCCCCTGGAGGGAGCTGTGGCAAACTTGCCTGACAGCAGTCCTGGCTCTCCAAGCACACTAATCCCAGAGGAGGGCAACGCTGGCAGGTCAGCTGGTCAAAGGACGCTCAGATACACAGTCACACTGTCTGCTTCTCTCCCTAAGGTATGCAACGTCCCCTCCCATGGGACCAGAGCAGATGTGATTATTACTCAAGGTCCCTGAGTCTCAGGCAAAGGACCACTGCCCCCAACGCTCCCTGGGCTGAGCCCCCCTTCCCTGCACCAGCCAGTTTTCCCTGGATGCTGGAATAAGCCCCTGGGACCAGTTTCCAGGGAGTGGTGAGGACAATTTGTGGGGAACACAGGGCGTCTTCCAGCCAGAAGGATTTACTGAATGATGTCTGGAGCCTGGAAAGTGCTGGAGCAGGAATGGGCACCAGGGGCTAGCAGCTTCGCACCAGTTCTGGGCTCTTCCGAGATACCAGATGCAATGCCTGGGTAGGTAGAAGGCAAGACTGCTGCTCTCAGAAAGATCCGAACTCAGAGTACACCCAGGACCTTGGCTGCAAATCGACCCTTCACTGATTGGTATATATAGGCGGCTCAAGTGGCCTATGGGAGGGGAGGGGACGTGTGTCCCCTCCCCCACGCTCAACTCCGAGGAGCCAAAGGTACTTAATCAAGAGCCAACCGCCTCTTACGGGTTGAATCACGTCCCCCCCCAAACAATATGCTGAAGTCCTAACCTCCAGGCCCCATGAATGTGTCCCTATTTGGAGATGTAATCAAGAGATCATCAGGGCCGTCCCTTAATTCAATCTGGCTGGTGTCCTTACGAGAGGAGAAGGCGGCCATGTGAAGACACAGACACAGGGAGAACGCCACATGACAATAGAGGCAGAGACTGGAAAGAGGCGGCGGGAACACCGAGGGTTGCCAGCCACCGCCAGAAGCTGTAGGAGGCAAGGAAGGAGTCTACCCCAGAGGCTGCAGAAGGAGCAGGCCCCTCTGACACCTTGATTTTGGACCTCTAGCCTCCAGAATAGAGACAACAAAGGTTTGTTGTCTTAAGGTGCAGCTCCGTGGCACTTGGTTACAGCAGCCCCGGGAGACAAATGTGCTACCCAAGTCCCAGGTGCTAGCCTCGGCCTTGTAATCGGAGGACCAAAAACAAAGACGATGAAATCCCTGCTTCAGCGTCATCACCCCGGCCATGGTCAGCTGGGCTCAACCTCGTCCTGCCCCCGCCCTCACAACCAAGGACATTCGTTTGGGAGCCACCCTCCCAGGGACAGCCAGGCCCAGCCCAGTCACCAGCTGGTACTGAGATAAGACGAGTAAGAACTTCGGTGCTCAGCGCCATTCCAGCCGAGAGAACTGGCAAACAAATCATACATAAGCCGGTGAAAGTGACACGATTACACCAAGAGATAACCTTCAGTCTGCTCTCATTTATTAGAAGCATAAGGCAAATTATTAGCAGAGGTGGTATCCTTACTATTACTTATAACAACTTTCTTGTGACCCACGGCGATCCTGACATTATCACGGCACTGAGTCTGAAACTGCCTCACTGGCCAAGCCAGCTGAATGCTCATAAACAGCTCTGATGACATGGGACCCATGGGGCGGGGGGGCGCCGGGGAGAACAGAGAGGCGGCAGACAAGGGAGGAAGAAGATCATACAGACAGCTAAAAGAGAGAGGTGGTAAAACACGCATGAATGGGAGGGTCAGGGGCCTCCTCCAGCCTCCGGGGGTCCTGGAGGTGCTACCCACTCAGCATCCCTCTGCCCCCAAACCATCTGCCACTGAGGGTCTCTGCTCTGGGATTCCTTCCCCAGAAGCATGGGCGATCCTGGGGCAGCTGGGAGAGGGCCTGGCTGGCTTCAGCCAAATGCAAACCTCTGGAGGAAGTGATCAGAGAGCCTTTGGGAGAAGCTGAGAAAGCCAGGAGATGGGTCACCAGATGGGACTGTTCACAGGGCACTGGACACACCTCAGGTGGGGGCCCTACTTACAGTACCCTGGCCTCCAGCTCCTCCCTATCCAGCTTCAATTTCTCTACCCTAGACCATTTGAGGCCACCGCAGCCGCCATGTCCCCCACACTTCTATGAAAGTGCCCTACACTAGGGATCAAGGGACTCCCAGGTTCCAGTCTGGCTCCACCCACCACCCCACTGCATGACCTTGGGTAGGTCCACATCTGCAAACATGGGGGTGATGATGTTTTGAGGAATTAAATGTAATGGCCGTGAAATAAAACATAAAATCCTATACAAACGTAGACTATTGTTATTTTCATCATATTTGTTGTTACTATAACCCAGAAAATGGTGATCTGGTCTCCGGGTAGAGAGAGAGAAGTGAGGGTCCAGGACTGTTTAATGTCTCTGAAAACATTTCTGGCATCTCAAATAAGCACCCATGCTAGCTCCAGGGAACTACTCTCAGGACCATAACTACTGGTTAATAATCAACAACAGGAAAATGTTTCACCTATCAGCAGATGGCTCTGGGGCCAGGTTTAAGCCTTCCTCTGGAAGAGAGTTCTCCCAAACCCACAAACCCCCTCTGCATCCCTCACCCCACCAGGTCCCCAGCCACCCAGCCATGCTTGGCTGGGTTTTCTCCCATTTTCCAAATAGCCAAGCTAGAGGAATGCAGACAGTTGGCCACTATAAGAAGCTTCCCGGGAAAACGCAACCAAAAAGGAAGGAGGCATACCATTCACAACAGCCAAAAGGTGGAAAGAACCCAGTGTCCGCACGCAATGAATGAATAAACAAAATGTGGTCTGTGGATGGAGTATTATTCAGCCATAAAAAGGAACA